GGGCTGCCCCGTGTCATTGCCACTGTGGCAGGGACAGACCCAGGCTGTCCCTTTCTCCCCGTACACCAACACCTCGAGCTGCACCCCCCAAACTGCCTCCGGGGCACTGGAAAAGCAAACCCAAACCCCATCTGCCCCGGTCTGAGTGAGGCTGCTGAGGACACGGAGGGTGGCGGCGGGCAGATGCCGAAGCCCGGAGCGTCACAGGCTTTGCTGCCATCCCTAATTCCCTGGGCACTAATGACCCGAGTGCCTCGGGGATGTCCCCCCCAGCACGGAGCTGCCCCAGATGGCCACAGCAGCAGGCGACGGGGTTAGGGCCATCGCAGAGCCCTCGCTGCCCACCGGCTTCACCCCAAGAGGCACCGGGAGAGGCACCAACCGCAGCACGGGGAGACGGTGGACGTGCTACTCCTCTGTCTCAGTCACCTCCCAGGCTTCCCAGGGTCACATAACCTCGGTTCGCTGATGGCACTGAGGTGTTGGAAGGGCTTGCTTCCGGCAGGGAAGGGGAAAAACCCCCTGGGCACGACAGGTTTAGCACAGCCCAGCCGTGCCCTCGCCTGCGCCAGAAAAGCCCCCGTGCACCTAACCCCGAGCGAGGGTTTGGCAGAGCTTCACCCCCAGCAAGCAACGGCGATGCTGTGCTTGGGGCAAGGTGAGCCCGTGAGGTACCAGCAATGAGCCCAGGGTGTTTCCCAGGCACCCCAGGGTGTTTCCCCCGGCCCTGCAACACCCAGTCCCTAGAAAGGGGCTTTTCTCCCCAAATACCCCACCTGGTTTATAAGCAGAATCATAGAATCACGGAATGGTTTGGGTTGGGAGGGACCTTAAAGATCATCCAGTTCCAACCCCCCTGCCATGGGCAGGGACACCTTCCACTAGACCAGGTTGCTCCAAGCCTCATCCAGCCTGGCCTTGGACACTTCCAGGGATGGGGCATCCACAGCTTCTCTGGGCAACCTGTTCCAGTGCCTCACCACCCTCTCCATGAAGAATTTCTTCCTGATGTCCAATCTAAATCTACCCCCTGGCATCCCAGCGCCTGCTGCAGTGCGTGATGGAGTCGGTATGTAAGACACCGCGTGTTTTTGTCTGTTTTGCAGGGGGAGTGGGATGCCCTTAGAGAGTTGATGGGCTGCTCCCAGCAGCTTTGTTCTATTTAATTTCCAAACAGCTCCCCGTAGAGGCCAGCCCTCGGTGGCCACAGCGCAGGCAGGCACATTTATCAGGGCTTTTCCCTTTCCCCTTTTATTGACTCTCGGCCTGTTCCCACTGCCAGGGGTCAGGGCTTTGGCTGGACTCTGCCGAAAGTCCACCCGAAACAGCCGGCGCTGACGCAGGGCCCTGCCCCCAAGATATAAGGGGTCTGAGAACTGGGTTTGCAGCCCAGTTGGGAGCATGGGGGTGGGGCTGGGAAGGGGTTGTGCCAGCTCCAGAGCTCTTCCCAAATCCGCGGGCTTGTGAAGCTGAACTGCGTTTGCTGGATCCAGCAAGGTGACGGTAACCACAGCTCGGCACTGAACTAGGGGCGGCTTGGCCGACATGGAGGGATCCATCCCCAGCCAGGAAAGCGTGCCGACCGGCACAGAGCCCTCCAACGCCACCAAACTGCTGCACCTGGTTTTCCTCTCCACCTCCTGGGGAATGCAGATCTGGGTGACCTTCGTGGCTGGTAGGTCGCGGTCCCCCCACACTACCTGGCTCCCTGCGCCGGGGGGGGAGGCCCAGGGGAAGGGGTTCTGCCCTGGGACCCACCCGCTCTCCCTCCTCGCAGGGTTCGTGATGGGCAGCCGTCTCCCTCGCCACACGTACGGCTTCATCCAGCGCGAGCTCTTCCCTTACTACTTCCACATCGGCTCCGCTTGCGCCTTCCTCAACCTGACTCTGTTCGCCATGTACCACCCCAGCGAGCTGCTCAGCGAGGAGCAAACTACCCAGGTACCCCCCGCTTGAAAGCATGAGCTGGCCGTAGCCCAGATTCCTCCCTCCGCGGGGTCCCGCTCCGCTGGGGTCGGTTTGCAAGCGATGACGAGGTGCACACGCGGCTCTGGTGAAAGCAACCCGTTAGCACCCAGACTGCAGCGAGCCTTGCACCTGAGAGGGGCCGGGGAGGAATTTAACCCACCGCACGCGTGGGATGTTCACGGTGGCCGTTTGCTCCCCTGCAGATCATCGTCTTCTTCGTTTGCGTCGCCGCATCCGTGCTGAACACGCAGTGGTTCGGGCAGGTCGCCTCCGACATCGCGGCGGACATGCACCTCGTCGAGCGCAGCCACGGCCTGGGCCAGGAGGTCGGGCTGTTTGCCAGCGAGTCCTGCAGGCAGCTGCGGGCCTCCAACCCCGGCTACAGGTGGCTCTTCGGCCAGCTCACCGTCTACCACGCGCTGTCCTCGCTCTGCAACCTCTGCTGCATCGCCTGCAACGGCTTGAGCCTCTACTACTTGGCTGCTCGGCTCTCGGCCCTGTGAGAAGGAAGCCATCCCCAGGCTTGGGGTAAAGTAGCCCTAAGTGCTGGAAATTAAATGTCAGCATCCTCGGGTGGAGAGACTGTTCCCTGTATTTGTGTGTGGGGCAGAATCACAGACTGGCTTTGGTGGGGAAAGACCTTCAGGTCCAACCCTTAACCCAGCAC